ACACAAACACACAAACACACACACACACACACACACACACATATATATATATATATATATATATATATATATATATATATATATATATATATATATACAACGCAGATTTTTTTTTTTTTTTTTTTTTTTTTTTTTTTTTTTTTTACAATTTATATCGAGTGCATAAGTCAGCGATGTAATGACAGAAGTTAAACAAAAATACACGTACAGTTTTATACATCTAATTATTTAATCCTTAATCTGAGGGATTAACCTTTCAAATCGTACCTCCTTCCTCACACAATCCTGATTAATGCGTGACACTAGAATAAAAACAATTAATTTTACGTATGACAAAAAAGGCAATTCAAGAAGTATGGAAAAAGCGTAACATCACAACTCTATTCTAAACGGTATTCATTCATCATAACTTAAGATTTGAATACTCTTTCATTATATAATTTTGTTCCTGTATTATCGTCGACACTCTTTCGTGCGCTAGTTTTTTTCTATGGAAATATTACTATAAAGACAATTTTTTTGCTCAACTATAGCTAATCTGAATACGTCTTTAGTAAGAATAACCCTTTCCTAGGCAAACGTAACTAGTCTATTCCTTTATTGGGCAAAAAATAATCGTTTTTCATCACACCATCTTGTATTTGTTCTATTTACATTGTTTGCACTATTATCTACATTAATATTACAAAGTTTATACGAGTTTTACTTTTTTGTAATATTAACTAACAGTACTAACAGTTTCTCCTAATACACCCATATACATATTATATTATCATATGTATACTAATATATCTATTCATATACTAATACATCCATATATATAATAATACATCCATATATATACAGTAGGGTTTCCTTCCCGGGATCCCGAGATCCCGGGATCCCGGGATCCCGGCCATAAATGGGCTTTTTTTCCTTCCCGGGAAATATGTGAAATCCCGGGAAATCCCGGGAAACTTCTTTTTATTATTTTTTTCTTATGTCAGCTAAAAAATACGAAAATGTATGAGAGAGAGAGAGAGAGAGAGAGAGAGAGAGAGAGAGAGAGAGAGAGAGAGAGAGAGAGAGAGAGAGAGAGAGAGAGAGAGAGAGAGATGCCTGGGCTGGAAGCGAGACAGCGATGAGCTGAATCAGCTGACGAGCGACGACACGTACCGTAACGGTACGTGTCGTCGCTCAGTGATCGTAGTATTGACTGTTTGTGCTTTTTGAAGAGTTATTTCAAAAATAATTCTTAGGGTGTATGACTGCATTTGCAGCTGTGATTTTTTTTTTTTTTTTTTAAGTGGGTGTTTAAAGTCCCACTTCCCTCTTTTCGTTTACCATGTCTGGAAAGTTGGGCCTAAATTCCAAATATTCTTTTTATGATTTTGTATGTGCATTACGGAATTTTTATTTTCTTCAGCTTTATTCAAATACACTGGGAAAATACCAGATAATATCTACTCTTCTTTAATTTCAGGGCATTTCGGAACTTTCAGTATTTTCATTTATTTATTTATTTATTTATTTATTTATTCACTTTTTAGGTTTTGTGGAATATGGTGTTCAAATTATTTTACATATGTTATTGAATATATGCAAAAGTTATTCCATAGTTTCATTTTCTGTGTAGTTTACAGTCTTGTGGAGCAAGATGGCTTGATGGGGGTCAGTGGAGGTGGCCAGTGCTACTGGCCAAGCTTCTATATGGATATGGTAATATGCAAAAATTCATATTCTATACGTATTAGGAAACTCTATGTCATTTAGAAATACTTATTTCACACTTTCACAGGGTAAGTAACAGCGTATTTTTTCTGTCTTTTTGTTGTGCCCTTGAGTCGCTCCTGTTACTGTAAAAAAAAAAAAAAAAAAAAAGTACTACTGAGGTTCATTTACGAATTACGATAGAGAAGGAGTATTAGCAAACATTATCTGCTACGGGAAATCCCGGGATCCCGGGAAATGTCTTGATTTTTCCCGGAATCCCGGGATGCTATAAAATCCCAAAAACAGGAAACCCTAATATACAGATATATCAATATATATACTAATATACCCATAAGTATACTATTATACCCATATATACATACTAACATACCCTTATATATAACAATATGTATAGATATATATACTAATACATCTCCACATATACGAATACAGAGACGCACGTTATCAGACACCCTAGTAAACAGGTTATTTGACACGCGGCCAAGGAGATACTGTTTCAGCCCGTCTCGTACACGCTTTCGAAGGAAAATATATCTTGGTAAAGGGGTTAGAATCGAATTTCATCGATAAGCTAGGAATTATTGAGCATGGACATAACATTGTTGATACAAGAAGTAAGATAGTGCTAGACATTTTTTTATTTATTTTATGTAAGTTCGTATACGACGGACGGTTTAAAATATATACATACATATATATATATATATATATATATATATATATATATATATATATATATATATATATATATATACACACATAGTTGTAAAATAAAATGATACTAATAACTATAATACGACTGCTAGTGCCAATGTGAATAGTATTGGAAATATATATTAGTAACATTACTTTTATTATTATTATTATATTTTCACTCATCATTTTTCTGTTCTCTTTAACTTTATTTATTTGTTTTTTTATTTCTTTATAAAGCTTCCAGTGTACAATCAGGGCAATGTTGTCACACAGTTGTTGTTGTTTTTTTGTAGTCTTTTTGAGGCCATTTCTCACATTCGCAAACAATATGTCCAACGTTTTTTTACCTTTTTTTCACCACACATTCTCCATAACCAGGAGTTTGCTATCTTACCAGCATTATATTTGTCATAATTCGTCCTACTTGCTTGTTCCTGGTCTTCAATTTCCACCATCAGGCCTGATTTTCTTAACCATTCACAAGTTTTCTTTTAGTTGTGTGTGGCATTTTCATTTACGAACTGGCCATACATTCTCTTTTCTTTCCACTGCTTGGAATCCCCGTTCCTTAAGTTCACTTTTCAGTTTAATCTTGTCTCTTTGTGTTTTCGATCTTAATTACATCCGTATTTTTTTTTTACGTCTTCAATTAACTTCTCATTTGAATTCTTTATACACCGCACAAAGTTGTTTTCTTTGCCCTAAAGATTCCTCGCAACTTATCACCCTTCTAACGCCTTTCTTTCCTGACACATAAATCCTATTAACGTCAGTCTTAGGGTGTAATGCCCCATGAATAGGTATCATCTCTTTCAGCTCTTTAAGTAACCATTTTATTATTCCTGCACTATACCTTCACACCGAGACAGCCCATGTGTCAATGCCGTAGGATTTCTTCTTGCCATTAAGTTTTGATTTTAAAACTCATATCAGCATTCTTTCATATTCACTTTTAAATATGTCCTTCATCTCTTGTTCCTTTATTCTAGACCACTTCTATTACGCCTTAATACTCATACCCATTTTAACTATTCTATTTGCTCAAGAATTTTCGCAAACAATTTGAGATCGTTCGTGACCAGAAGACGGTTGATTTTAAATCTCTCCGTGGACCTATTCATGCCCAGATCTTGTCACTCTCAAAACCAATCTCAGGGGTACCATTCTTAACACGAAGAATAGAGGAGATAGGTTATCCCCTTGTAAAATTTCCTCTCCTTATTTGCACATTTACCCGTTCTCCCGAATATGTTAATTATGTCTTCCATGTCTCCGTGCTATCTACGAGGAAGTCATATGCCTTCCTGTAATCTACCCAGGCTGTTGCAAGGGTGGCATGTCTACTTTATTTTCTTCTATTTTTGACTATTCTAATGGTTTTCTCCCTTTTGATTTATCCCAGCCATTCTTCACTCTTCATCTTCTTCTTGTGTTTCTTCTGTGTCCCATATGTCAGTCCATTTTTTTTCGCTTTCCTTTGCATCTCGCAAACAATTTCCTTTATTTGAAAATGACATTCAGTTGTTGGTACAGTTTCATCTGGTCCATTTGGAACTACCTGCTTTGCCCGTACTGGTTTATTATCCTCTCGTATCTCTTATCTTGACCGCCTTTGCCAGTAGCCTTTATTTCACCCTTTCTCTTTCTTTCTAGAGTATTTATATCTTGTCTCAGCTTCTTAATATCACCTATTATTCTCTTCCACCATTGATATTGTTATCGTTATTATTATCATCATCATTATCATTGTTATTATCATTATTATTATTATTATTATTATTGTTGTTGTTGTTATCATTTTCATTATTACTATTGTTGTTATTATCATTATCATTATTATTATTATTGTTGCTGTTGTTGTTGTTATCATTTTCATTATTACTATTGTTGTTATTATCATTATTATTATCATTATCATCATTATCATTATTATTACTGTTATTATTATTGTTGTTGTTGTTGTTTTCATCATCATTATTATTATCATGATAATGATTATTATCATTATTATTGTAATCGTTATTATCATTATTATTGTAGCTGTTTCTATTATGTTTATCATTGAAGAAGAAGAAGAATACGAAGAAGAAAAGAAAAAGAAAAAGAAAAAGAAAAAAAGAAAAAAGTAATAGAAGAATAAAAAAATAAAAATAAAATGAAAATGAAAAAGAAAGAGAAGAAAAAGAAATAGAAGAAAGAGAAGAAGAAGGAGACGGAGAAAAGAAAGAAAAACTCAAGAATTCAATGCCGCCTTCTCGATAACGTTGCGTGGAAATCCGCCTTCACGTGATACTCGACTTATATAATCGGTTAAAACATTTTCTTTTTGCTGGAAAAAACTAAAAAGATCTTAGAGAATATCACGGCGGTAATATTAATGATAATGGTTACATCAACAATTGTGATACTAATGATTAAAATGACCAATAAAACTCTTTTTTTAAATTAAAGATCAACAAGCATAAAAATATAAGTCAAAATATCAATAATAACGATAATCATCAGATAAGAAATAACTTTTTATCTTATTTTATCTCAAGGGTCCCTGACGCCCTCACGCCCCGCCCCCTGAGTCAGCTGATCAACCAAAA